AAGGCCCAGGTTGACATTTTAGATATAGGCGAAAAGGTGATTATAGGGATTTCCATAGGTACTCCACTAATCGCTAGAACCTATCCTGAATCCTCGATGGTTACTATAATCGCCAGAATATCTAAAGAAAACATTAACGATGACCAAGAAGGAAATTAAAAGAAGGCCCAGGTTGACATTTTAGATATAGGGGAAAAGGTGATTATAGGGATTTCCATAGGTACTCCACTAATCGCTAGAACCTATCCTGAATCCTCGATGGTTACTATAATCGCCAGAATATCTAAAGAATACAATAACGATGACCAAGAAGGAAATTAAAAGAAGGCCCAGGTTGACATTTTAGATATAAGGGAAAAGGTGTTTATAGGGATTTCCATTGGTACTCCACTAATCGCTAGAACCTATCCTGAATCCTCGATGGTTACTATCATCGCCAGAATATCTAAAGAATACAATAACGATGACCAAGAAGGGAATTAAAAGAAGGCCCAGGTTGACATTTTAGATATAGGCGAAAAGGTGATTATAGGGATTTCTATTGGTACTCCACTAATCGCTAGAACCTATCCTGAATCCTCGATGGTTACTATCATCGCCAGAATATCTAAAGAATACATTAACGATGACCAAGAAGGAAATTAAAAGAAGGCCCAGGTTGACATTTTAGATATAGGGGAAAAGGCGACTTAAAAGGTGTTCAGGGTCTGACAAGTCGACCAGGACCAGGACCATTTCAATTATTTTTGACAAATCGATAGTTGATATCCTCAAATTCCTTTCCTTGAACCTTTGAGAACCTTGTCCACTGATTCATTTTGGAAGCTCACTTTCTGTCTCACCCTTTTCCAACCCTACTTATGTATATTCCGCGTTTTGTCCCTACATGGTTCTCATAACTTAGTACTCCTACGTTTAATAAAGATAAAGTATTATTAAGAGAAATACAACAGAGTCTTTATGACAATAATCGTACCTAAAACTTGCTTTCCTTTGATATTAAAAGAATAATTGGTCACAATTCTTGATAACTCTAGAATATTAGGTTGTTTTCTACTGCAACTCGAAGCAATATTTCAAACATTCCTTTGGCAAAGCCAACTTGATGTTGACATTTTTAAATTGTTTACCCACTAATAAGGCTGGAGATTCCATTCCCTGTCTCCAATTATTAAGCGATTTAGGGAAGATTTGATCTTGTTGTATGCTACCAAAAATAACATAAATAATAACAAAGCAATTTGTTTGAAATTTCCGAAATCCCCTGGACTGAGAAATTTCGTTTGTTTTCAACGAAATTGGAGATTTTATCCTCGTGAATTTCAGAATGGCCATAAAATGATTCGAAGTGAAGTGAATTTAGCTGGTCTGCATAGAGCCGTAAACTATAATATGTTATTTTCTATTCGATTGGATAATAAATGAGAGGGTCTTGGAAGGAACGAGGGGTCCCTGTGTAGGCGCATTTCGGGATGAAAACAGACCGGTTCGTTGGCCAGGCGGGGCCCCTTGGCTGCGTTCTGCGTTGATCCTGTATGGAGGTACAAGTACCCCGGTGCACCGACAATATGGTGTCCGGATCCCTTTAAAACGAGTTAATCCGTCTGCCTGGCCGTCTGCCTATCGCCTGAGAACCAAGAAGATTCATTTTCCCTTTGTCCATTCTTTTTCACACCGTACGAAAAGGAGCGGTGCTCAATAGGACAATGCCGTATAGGGCAGTACGCGAGTTTACGAGACTCTGCTCGCAGACAACCGTACCGGAGGAACGCGCGAGCGCAACTTTTGAATAATCAACGCGTAGGCCCAAGCTTGGCTTTGTGAGCGGGCCTCTTCCTTCGTGGCCTCGGGCCGAGAGGCCCGAGAAAGGGAAGAAAGAGGGACAGAGACGTCAAAGACACTCGAAAGGAACTGACGTGCGCCAAGATTGTTGCATCTTCGAGCTCGCGGGACCTGCTGGACAGATGTTCAAAAGCAATCGTTCGTCCGGTGACACTGGACCAGACTATTCCGTACACCATTTTGCTCCTTTAATTCCCCGAGTTCGTCAACCTCCCATTCGTGAACTCTCTTCGAGGAACTAGCTGCCTCCTTCGACCATTTAACCAACTAAACTACTCATCGACCATTTTTAGTTACGTCACACTTAAATATTCTTATTTCCTAAATTCTTGGTTTAACCCTTTGCACCCCAAAAGTTCTCTTTTCTCAGAAAAATTTCACAATTATTATAATTTATATTTTATTTGTTCATTTCGTTGATTCTGTTTAAACTGAATGATGTTTTTATTTTCTCGTAATAATGTAAATCGGTAGTGGGCAGAGTTCGTTAACCCGCCACGCCGTGAGTTTACGGTCGAAGAAGGGAAGAATCTCGAGATCCTTTCTCGACCAATGAAACGCGCGTATTCCAACGGTTTACGGCTTTCTATAATCGTAGGGAAATTATAATCACGATGCTTGCTGGAATCTCGTTTCCGGATCGCGCAGAAACTATTATACCAACTAACTAATCCTCCTCCACCAAATTCCTATCAAGCCATTATTATTAACTCGTTGCACTCCAATGGCGTCTTTATGCCGACAAATATAATTTTAATAAAAATTATAAATTTTTTTAGGAAAAGGAATATTTTCACACCACAGAATTGCATCGATATATCCAATTGTTCGTATTAATATTTACCAAATAATTATTATTTATTGCGTTCGAGTCCTGAAACTGAATTGGTTATTAGTAGACTGCGGATGTTTATGCATTTATGGGGAATTTTAATTCTCAAGAAACTACAGAATGCACTTAACACATTACCGACCGATAGCCTATTAATCGACTTCTTTACCGACCGATAGCGTATTAATCAACTTCTTTACCGACCAACGCTTACCGGTCGGTAAAGTGTTAACATGCAAAAATATAAGAAATATTATATTTAGAGGTTGAGACAGCCCTCTGCGAAGCTTCCGTTTCATTAGTTCTATTAATAAAACTGTGAATTTGCATAAAGATCCGCGGTCTAGTTATCAGGATGAAATAGGGAATATTTATTTTCCCCCAGGTGTCGATAACGTGTCTGGAGAATGAAACTCTGAGGTTCTCTGACACGATGAACATAACTGAAAGGTACAGTGTTGATAGCGTGGTACAGTAGCTCGGTCATAATGCACGTTTCGCGATCGAGGGGGGGGGAAGAGGTCGAGGTCTGGGCTCGAGCAATTAATCGCCGCTGGATTGACGAGCATTCTCGCCTCGTAAACAGAAACGAGGCGTACGCCCAGGTATTTTATGCCTGAGAGAATTACAGGAAGAACCGATTCGTGTCGAGTTCGGTTCGTTGCGGTTCTGCACGCAGCTCGTTAAGCTGCGCGGCGCGTGCGCCGACTACACGCGCGTGTAAACTCAATTAATAGTCTTATGGGGTCGGTTATGGGGCATGCCGGTCCGAGCGTGCCTCTGAGAATTGATCGCGTCTCGTGTTCTTTGCTATGTACTTGTGGCGTCAGTAATCCCTCGCTAATGCTCACTGGCTCGCGAACCTTATCGAGGGACGATCTACTCCCACAATTACCACCCCTTTTTCCACACGAAATTCAAAAAAACACTCACAAGGAATGTTTTTCAGCTGTCCATCTCCGATTCTACTAAATTTTTTATACATTTTAACACATTGACTGCCACGTCACCCACATATGGCTGACACGACTTTTCGCCGAGTTAAAAAAATTAATTCTCAAGCTTAAATATGAAAGAAAATAAAGCTAGGTAGGGCCCTTCAATTTTAACGAGTCTGTGAATGTAAATTCAATAAAAAATGACGGGTATGCTATAAACAAAATTTCATTTCCTTGTAATTTGAAGAGTTTGGTCTGGCAGCCAATATGTTCAGGAATTATTTCCTTTAATTAACTTTCTCGAAGAATTCTTTCAAAATAAAAAAAACTCTTTGAAATGTATAATTGATTGTCTCGGTTTAATTTTAAAATGTGCACATTATGATTAATTATGATATTTATGAGAATATTCTGTTAATTAAGGAATTATTTCCTTTAATTAACTTTCTCTAAGAATTCTTTCAAAATAAAAAAAACTCTTTGAAATGTATAATTGATTGTATCGGTTTATTTTTAAAATGTGCACATTATGATTAATTATGATATTTATGAGAATATTCTGTTATTTGTTATGTTAAATGAAACTTTGCGACAGTGGTTACTATATTGTTCTCTTTCTGTTATTATAGGGTAGTTAAATCTAGTGATATTTTTTATTTTCATGCCAACTGATTAATAAGCTACCGGTCGGTAAAGCGTTGATCGGTAAAAAGTCGATTAATAGGCTAACGGTCGGTAAAGTGTTAACGAGTCGGTGAAAATAAATTCAATAAGAAATGACGGGTATGCTATAAACAAAATTTCATTTCCCTTGTAATTTGAGGAGTTTTGGTCTGGCAGTGAACGTGTTACAGGACCGTTTTCATATTCAGAGGGTGCAACGACCCCCTAAAGTTTCAGCTATCTGAAAAACCACCACAGATAGAAGAAAACTTGTTAAGGAAATGTCTCACTGTTTTTTTATGTACAATACATAGAAATGCTGGTGATAAAATTTTTTTGTAACATTCTTTTAAAAGCAATCACAATTTACATAATAAGAAAAAAGAACAGAATTTTTGTTCCGAATCGATTCCCCGCAATCGAAACTAATTTTTCCGGAACAATTTAAAATTTTGTAATGGTTTGTAAAAACAATAGACGGAAATGGCAATGTATTCGTATTTAAGTTATTTATTAATGGAAGGAACGAACGTTACAAAAAAGTAACCAATTCTTATCGAATGTTTTGGTTGATTTTGGAGCGTTCAATGGCTAGGTCGATTTGTATAGTTTAATTTTAAAGGTGATGTCGATGATAAAATGGCGATTATTTATACTAACTTATTCTTTTATAAACGTTCGACTGGACAGGGAGTGGGAGAAATAGTCTAGACTGGCGGAGAGTCTCAGTACCTTTGACTATTGGACGAAGAGTCAGCAATGCTAAACGAGGCTGAGTAGGGTCCTAAGTTGAAGTTGGCGCTTTGGGCGCTAGCTTGGCTCTCGCCATCTCCGTATGCTCCAGCGTTCGCTCCAGCTGCCTCCGCGGATGCTGAGGCACCCGATCCTCCGAACAGTCCTCCGTTTAATCCACCTGATGCAGCGTTAGCTGAAGCACCGTCAGATCCTCCTCCAAACAGTCCTCCATTCAATCCACCAGATTGTGCATTGGCTGAGGCACCGCCAGATCCTCCGAACAGTCCTCCGTTGAATCCTCCAGATTGTGCATTAGCCAATGCATCGCCAGATCCTCCAAAGAGTCCTCCGTTTAATCCACCAGACTGTGCGTTAGCTGACGCTGCACCACCACCTGCGCCACTTTCGGGATAAAATTCACCTGCTCCAGGTCCAAACCTACAAATAATAGAATGGTTAATTGAATAGTCACGTTAATTGCAAAAATGTTTGTTAACACTGTAGCGACACCTCCTGTACTCGCTACCAGAGGGACCGCTCCTCTCGCAAGCGGTTCACTGACTCTCATACAGATACGTATAGCAACTTGCTACGAAGCCTTAGCGATCAGTTCACTAGCACGAAACGCTTCCCTATCCGATCGAAATGATATTCATAACACGTCAGACGTTAACATTAACCCTTTGCACTCCGAATTCTATTTAAATTTTGTTACCAGCAGCTCCCAACGCTTTTAAGTGTTTTATTTGAAATTTACCTATTAGAATATCTGTTTTATTTACATTGTTGTTGTGTTTTGTAATTTTCAAGTGTACGATATCTGTTTGGTTTGGACTTGAAAAAATGTCGAATGGGACATGACGAAGGAGCTCCTGAGATAAAAATTGATGTCGAATCACAGGTCACTCTACATAGGAGTACAAAGGGTTAATAATTGCCCAAAATGTGATGGATACATACCCTCCTTCGCAACCGAACTCGCCACAACCCCCTGGTCTGTGGTGGTTGCGATAATTATTACGACGTTCGTCTCCGTAATCGGATGTCCCCTCATCCGGGAATCCAAATTGCGGCGATCGTTGCTCCCTCTTGGTATCTGTGACAAAATACAAAAATCGTTATCTCGGAGAAATGGAATTTGCAATCACTTGTTCACGAAACACTAGTTGTTACGATCGAAGAACTTGTATGCAGAAAAATAGTAATTTAATGAGAAGATATAAAACTTCATGTAACTCATGTAACTCGAACATTTATCGAAGTAACGAACCACTATGAATTAGTTAAAAAATTGTAAAATTGTAACTTAGTTAACTCAGCGAATAATGGGTTAATAACTTATTGTTAGTCTTTTTTTTCAAGATATTATAGCATAATAAACTGACCAGTTTCCGTAAGTGGGATTTCTTGTTGGTGAACAGGGTTCAGGAAGACGGGGTTCTTGATCACACCCGTTGGTTTAGCTGGACACGTGTTGAATAGGACCGTGAACACTAAAACTATCGGCAGGAATCGCGTCGTTTTCAACATGTCGACAAAATTGTTGGAGAACTCTCGACTTGGTGACCGAAAACACAAATATGAATGAACGAATGTTCACTGTGCACGGTGTTTTTATACGAGGATCCCTTCACCGTCGAAATCGAAGGATGACACCCTGCGGGTGTCCAAAGCTCCCGAAAGATTCAACGATCGAAGACCCCGATTTGTTATTGGCTCCTAACTAGTGGACGACCTTACTGTCCAGGGACGATCGAAAGTGGACCGTAAGAAAGTGTACGAACGTCTAAGGACGCTAATCGGAATATACGAATTTCGACTGGACCGGCGCGTAAATTTGTTTTCGGGGAATTACGCGGTACGATAGTAGGGGACAGAATGAGGAAAAAGTCGGAGAATCGTGTCAGTGGTGATCTCTGGCCCCTAACCGAGACGCTATCGCGGCGATCATGTTTTATTCATTTTACTTTTCGGGGATTTTTCGATGTGAAATTTATCTGAGTCTCGAAAGTTTTCGATGACGCGTTGCCTGGATCAACCGGTCGATCCTAGATCAGATTTTAAGGTTTAGTGTTTTACTTATTTTAAACCTAGGATCACAGTGTATAATTATTTAATAACAGTTAAATTTGAAACGGATCAGTAATTTTTTAGATATCGTGTCGATAGTTCAAAGAAACACGATTCTGAGAAGAAATCTAGCGCTTTTTCCCAGATAATGTGCTTGAACAATATTCTATAATTTCGTAATTTTTTCGAGTTTTAAAATAAAATTTTATTATTCTTTAATAAGTAAACATTTCACGGTTTTGTAAAGCAGTTATTTTTAATATTTTCTTCGCAGACTGTCAACTATTGATACATAATCAATTATCAATACGATATTTTTTTTTCAAATCTTTCTATAAAATGTAAATTATTTTTAAAATTAGGCTAGGTTTTTTATTTACATTTACGCCAAGATATTTAACCTTATTTGATCTTAAAAATAGATTCGCTGTTTGATATATAATATAAATAGTTTTTTTTTTCTATATTCTTCGATATTCACCATTTCGAGAATCATAATTATTAATGTAGGTATTATAGGAGATACTATTATAAGTTATGCACTTATTACGTGGCTATGTCATCGACAAAGGTTGCTTTTTTCGCGTGGGATGTATATTAAAAATAAGTACAATTCCGAGAGATTGCCTTGGGACCAATCAGAACTGATTTGTCGTATTTGGAGAACATGTTGTTGTACTTGACCTGAAAGTATCTTTCCTAAAGGTAGGATTTTATTAAAAGGTAGTCATTTCGAGAATAAATTCTTTAAAAAGAAGCGTATCTATGCGAACGAATGAATAAAAACTGTAGAATAATATTTTTTCGTATGTATTTTCAATTTCGAATAAATCGATGTTAAAGATTCGATCAAGTATGGCGTCCAGGTTCAAATGATCTCACTTACGCCTATGTAAGTAGCCATAGTACCTCTCTTTTTTTTTGGACTGCATTAATTAATAATTCCGTATCAATTTATAACGTTAAAAAAGAACAAACAGATAATAAAATTCTATTCCCTTATCAGACACAAAAATCACTGGAAATAATCATAAAAAGTATTGAAAAAAAAAGATTTCTTTCGCGTCTTTCTATGTATTGTATGGCACCATCTAGTGGCCGCGTCCTCTACTATGGAAAATACTGCAACTTATCGAGGGTTTAATGGAAAACGATTAATTTACTTTTATTTTTATATTATTCAAGTTAAATTCGAGTCTAATAATTGAACATGAAAATCAATATAAATGATACATTCACCACAGAAAGATAACGTTCGATTTTTCGACAACTTATCCCTGGACCTTTCATCATTCCAACTAAATTAGACAGTATACGCCTAATTAACTAACACAGTACAGATGAATTGCTATTAAAAATAATTGTAATTGACCCTCGATTCTTGCTAATATCCTCCAACTGAAGATTAGCAATGAAAATCAAGATGTTTAAAGATAACGTTCGATTTTTCGACAACTTATCCCTGGACCTTTCATCATTCCAACTAAATTAGAGAGTATACGCCTAATTAACTAACACAGTACAGATGAATTGCTATTAAAAATAATTGTAATTGATCCTCGATTCTTGCTAATATCCTCCAACTGAAGATTAGCAATGGAAATCAAGATGTTTAAAGATAACGTTCGATTTTTCGACAACTTATCCCTGGACCTTTCATCATTCCAACTAAATTAGAGAGTATACGCCTAATTAACTGACACATTACAGATGAATTGCTATTAAAAATAATTGTAATTGATCCTCGATTCTTGCTAATATCCTCCAACTGAAGATTAGCAATGGAAATCAAGATGTTTAAAGATAACGTTCGATTTTTTGACACCTTATCCCTGGACCTTTCATCATTCCAACTAAATTAGAGAGTATACGCCTAATTAACTGACACATTACAGATGAATTGCTATTAAAAATAATTGTAATTGATCCTCGATTCTTGCTAATATCCTCCAACTGAAGATTAGCAATGGAAATCAAGATGTTTAAAGATAACGTTCGATTTTTCGACAACTTATCCCTGGACCTTTCATCATTCCAACTAAATTAGACAGTATACGCCTAATTAACTGACACATTACAGATGAATTGCTATTAAAAATAATTGTAATTGATCCTCGATTCTTGCTAATATCCTCCAACTGAAGATTAGCAATGGAAATCAAGATGTTTAAAGATAACGTTCGATTTTTCGACAACTTATCCCTGGACCTTTCATCATTCCAACTAAATTAGACAGTATACGCCTAATTAACTAACACATTACAGATGAATTGCTATTAAAAATAATTGTAATTGATCCTCGATTCTTGCTAATATCCTCCAACTGAAGATTAGCAATGGAAATCAAGATGTTTAAAGATAACGTTCGATTTTTCGACAACTTATCCCTGGACCTTTCATCATTCCAACTAAATTAGAGAGTATACGCCTAATTAACTAACACAGTACAGATGAATTGCTATTAAAAATAATTGTAATTGATCCTCGATTCTTGCTAATATCCTCCAACTGAAGATTAGCAATGGAAATCAAGATGTTTAAAGATAACGTTCGATTTTTTGACACCTTATCTCTGGACCTTTTATCATTCCAACTAAATTAGAGAGTATACGCCTAATTAACAAACACATTACAGATGAATTGCTATTAAAAATAATTGTAATTGACCCTCGATTCTTGCTAATATCCTCCAACTGAAGATTAGCAATGGAAATCAAGATGTTTTAGTTTATTTGTTTTGGAAATCAGTTTTTTTAAATATTCTCAACACGCGTATGTTTTTCTATAAAACAGTCTAACGAAGGTGAATTATGTATTTTTGTTTGTGTTTTTAAAAAATCGTTGATTTTATTGAGTTGTTACAACTTACAGAGAACGTAATATATTATGTAAGAGAGCGAGACGAGGGCTCGTGTCCGCGGTCTGTATGATAAAACATGATAATAGATGGAAATTCCTCGAAAACGCAGAGTAAATGATTCTCGATAAAAAAGTGATTATCGTTAATTAGCATGGTTACGAGCGTCGCGTGTATGATTATTAATTGGGATGGGACAAACTATTCGATAATTCTCAGTTGGCGTGTTTTTTTTTTGCAATTCTCTCTCTTCTTCGTAATCATTGTTAAACACGCAAATACGACGAGATTAAGCAATCTTTTCTGGTTATTTGAAAAATGTCTTTGAAACTCGAATATCTAGCACGTTTTCATTCGTCGATATAAATAAAATTGTTATTATAATTTCTAAATAAAATTTGACATATTTTAATTTTGTCTAATAATTTTTTAACACTCAATCGCTACAATATTACCAACTACTCCTCTTTCGACAATTTAAATAGAAATAATATTAAATCTTCAAAAGGAAATTTGAGAAAAACTGAAACAAACGTTGATCTATAAAAAATTGTAATTTTCCAATAGGAATCACTGTTTTCTCTTTTTTTTTAACTGTCGGAGATTGCTGGTATCTTCTGGTTTCCCAGAAATTATATTCGTGATTCGATATCACGAAATTTGGGATTCCCATGTTTGTTCAGTGGCTGAGAATTAACAAACGTGCCGATCTTTAAAATGATTTTCGACGAATCGATGGGCCATAAAAAAAGAGAAAGGAATAGAGAACTTTCTAGCGATTACGATAATAGCGGGCGTCGCACCACGCATTACGCTATGACCTACATACTTATTCCAATAAATAAATACACGTAAACTACGCTCGATTCGATGGAATCGTCGCAATTGTACTTGATAAAATGAGCATCGAGGAAGATGAAATTATCATAAAAATCACGTAATCGACAGCTGCGATTAGAAACGAACGTTAATGCGGATTTGGCAAGGAAAAGAAACGATCTACGTTGCAAATATTACGTTTAATCTAGATAAGACGAATACTAAAAGTAATTTCGACATTCGAGCGATCGGTAATTTTCAATCGTTTACGAACATCATCGTTATAAAAATAATTTACAAAGCTTAGTCTGAGTAGTATAAATATCAGAGTATTATCGATTCGTTGAATCTCTTCGATTGGTAAAAATACATTCGAAAACTAATTTATCCACGTATTACCCGCTAATCTGATTAAACAGTCGGGAATAATTTAACATAACATTTTCTATTTTCAACGAATATCCAAAGAACGTGGAAAGAATATTTGTTACGTATCGTACATTGGCAAGAACAGTATCACAAGTTACCAATCGATAAAGCTACCAAGTGTAAAGTCTTAAAAATATTAAATTATCATTAAATAAATCCGTGTCGACAACGTTGCAGCGCAGTTAAAATATTATGCAACGCGAGCCAAGCGTTATGTCACCGTATTTATTGCGCCCATCGGATTGTCCGTCATCTGAACGTGAACAATGCCAGCAATTTAACAGTAAATTTACAATTTTACGGCACTCTGTGCGTTAACGATCACCATTTGTCAAGTATTCGATCACTGGGAACGTTCGAATGGTATGGACGAGCTAGAATGGCGTTCCGGCGTGTTTAGAAAAACATCTAAGAGACCTTCGAAGCGATGGCACTTGCACGGCGTAAATTTCTCGATATCGAAAGATTTAGTTGGTGAAAACGAGCATGTCCCTTGTGTCTGCGTTCGCTGAAGCAGAGCTGGATGCCCTTGCTCCGATCTGTGACGATGCTAACGCGCTGCTGGACGCCTGAGCGTTGGCGGAACCACTTCCGGAACTGAAGGCGGAAGATTTGCTCGAGCTGCTTGCCGACGAGCCTCCGCTCGAGAAGGCATTCGAGCTCGCGTTGGATACCGCGTTCGACAGACCGCTCGATGAGCCTGGGGAAGGAAGAGCAATCATTTAATTAGGATCAGCCCTGACTCGATCGCTTCGACGATGGCTGAGGCGCTTGCGTCTGTGAAATCAACACGAAAACCTTCGTTAAGAAAAAGAATTCTGTCCAAACAGAGTGGTAGGAGAGTGATATTGCTTTGCTAATCGACTCATCAATTAAAGAGCATTTAAGAGAGATTTAAACCGACCCCGGTGTCTCGCCTATATTTAGCAACAACGAAACGTACCATGTCCGTATCCAGTCGATCCACCACCACCAGATCCTTTAACGTTTTGACCTCCGAAGCCTCCAGCAGAAGCGATAGCATCAGCTTTGGCATTCGCAGCAGAGGAACCTCCACTTTGTCCACCGTATCCACTAATACCAAATCCAGAGGGTCTTGATCCGCCATTGTTACCTCCATAACCGAGTCCACTGGTTCCAGCGTTGGCTGTTGCGTCAGCTTTGGCATTACCACCAGAAGAACCCCCATTCGGACCACCATATCCGCCGATAGTAGGGGTACCTGAACCACCAAAGCCATTTCCACCGAATCCACCGCTTCCTGCATTGGCTAGAGCGTCAGCCTTGGCATTGCTACCAGAGGAACCTCCACTTTGTCCACCGTATCCACTAATACCAAATCCAGAGGGCCTTGATCCGCCATTGTTACCTCCATAACCGAGTCCACTGGTTCCAGCGTTGGCTGTTGCGTCAGCTTTGGCATTACCACCAGAAGAACCCCCATTTGGACCACCATATCCGCCGATAGTAGGGGAACCTGAACCACCAAAGCCATTTCCACCGAATCCACCGCTTCCTGCATTGGCTAGAGCGTCAGCATTGCTACCAGAGGAACCTCCACTTTGTCCACCGTATCCACTAATACCAAATCCAGAGGGCCTTGATCCGCCATTGTTACCTCCATAACCGAGTCCACTGGTTCCAGCGTTGGCTGTTGCGTCAGCTTTGGCATTACCACCAGAAGAACCCCCATTTGGACCACCATATCCGCCGATAGTAGGGGAACCTGAACCACCAAAGCCATTTCCACCGAATCCACCGCTTCCTGCATTGGCTAGAGCGTCAGCATTGCTACCAGAGGAACCTCCACTTTGTCCACCGTATCCGTTAATACCAAATCCAGAGGGTCTTGATCCGCCATTGTTACCTCCATAACCAAGTCCGCTGCTTCCACCTTTGGCATTCGCGGTAGAAGAACCTCCACTTTGTCCGCCATATCCGTTACCAGATCCAGAGGGTCTTGATCCGCCATAGATATTTCCACTGCCCCCATAACCAAGTCCACTGCTTCCAGCGTTGGCTAATGCGTCAGCTTTGGCATTAGCACCAGAAGAACCTCCATTCGGACCACCATATCCGCCAATAGTAGGGGAACCTGAACCACCAAAGCCATTTCCACCGAATCCACCGCTTCCTGCGTTAGCTAGAGCATCAGCCTTTGCATCAGAGGAACCTCCACCTTGCCCGCCATATCCGTTGTTTCCATTGTATACTTTAGGCGCAGAATCAACCTTCACTGGTCTCAATGTTCCGTAAACCTGACCTTTGGTTGGACCTAGCCCACCGGAGCTGGATCCAGAGCTCCCGTATAAAGGAATCGATCCACTTGGTCCAGGTCCAAACGTTCCACTAGGCTGGACACCCATTATTGGCGCTTGTTTTATTGGCTGACTGAACCCATTAGCCGAACCCCCGGCATTAGCGTTGGCATTAGCTGTTGCGCCTGAGCCTGGCGATCCAAAAGACGGGTAACTTGTGGGAATACCCTTTATGTTGTTTTGGCCATTTGCAATCGCGCCACTGTTTGCGTTACCATTAGCTGTCGCGCCTGAACCTGGCGATCCAAAAGACGGGTAACTTGTGGGAATACCCTTTATGTTGTTTTGGCCATTCGCGATCGCACCACTGTTTGCATTGGCATTAGCTGCTGCTCCTGAGCCTGGTGATCCAAAAGATGGATAGCTTGTAGGAATACCATTTCCCTTGTTTTGGCCACCTGCAATCGCACCACTGTTTGCGTTGGCATTAGCTGCTGCTCCTGAGCCTGGTGATCCAAAAGATGGATAGCTTGTAGGAATACCATTTCCCTTGTTTTGGCCACCTGCAATCGCACCACTGTTTGCGTTGGCATTAGCTGCTGCTCCTGAGCCTGGTGATCCATAAGATGGATAGCTTGTAGGAATACCATTTCCCTTGTTTTGGCCACCTGCAATCGCACCACTGTTTGCGTTGGCATTAGCTGCTGCTCCTGAGCCTGGTGATCCATAAGATGGATAGCTTGTAGGAATACCATTTCCCTTGTTTTGGCCACTAGCGATCGCGCCACTGTTTGCGTTGGCAGCTCCGTTGTTTCCATAGGCTCCAGGGTTCCCCGAGCCGGCGTTGATGAACGGATTCTGCGACTGAATTACAACCGGTGTGTTGGCATTCGCAGCACCGTTGGCGCTGGCAGCTGCATTGGCGCTTCCCTGAGAGGATCCGGAGAGGAAGGGATTGTTGGAGCCGATAGGGGCGACAGGACCAGTGGCAGGATAGTATCCTGAGCTGGGATAGGCGTTGTTCCCATTGGCGGTGCTACTCGCTCCAGCGTTTGCTTGAGACGATCCACCGAAGAAAGGATTACTTCCTCCGGCGGGAGTGGATGGAACACTCGCGGGATAGTATGATGGTTGTTGTCCGTAGCCAGTCGAACCAGGCTGGTATTGGTTTCCATTGCCGATAGCATTAGCATTAGCATTAGCATTAGCATTTGCATTCGAATTACCGTTGGCTCCCGTGGGTGCTCCCAAATAGTGATTGCCACCTCCGATCGTTTGTTGACCGGTTGGACCGTAGTATCCTTCTCTGCCAAATCCACCTGCTGGAATAACAGACGACCAGTTAAAATTTCTAAAGCATCGTGGAAGAATTCTAAAGAAAATACTAAAAGTGTCTAACAAAGTACACACGGCTGACCAAGATTCGATCGAGAAACTAACAGGTGACATCCTGATTACACATACAATAGAGGACGATACAATAGACAAGAGTACATAGAAGAGAGTGTTCGATACAGAACAGAAGAAAGTAACCAATTCAAGACCGAGTGAAAGATGCTTCTACTTCAGCCAGATCAACGTTAATCAAGCATTCCGAGTTTCAGGGAGACTCGTGTTAAAGGTTAATCAGAAGAGAACACAGTGTCAAAGAAGAAACGAGGAGGATGCGTTCTCATAAATGTTCGACAAGTAAACGAGTAACAAGAAATCTGTCTACATAGCGAAGAGCCCTTTACAAGAATCTACATCGACGTAACAGGCATCTGCAGAAAAGTTATAGAGGACGATGACAACCAAGAGTGAGACTTTCTCCTTCGGTAGATTCGAACGAGCCCAAGTTCATCGATCCTCTTTCAAGAGGCTCACCTGGGTTTCGGTTGGGTTCCCTGTGCTCGACCACAACGATGTGTAACGGCTCGTACTTCGGTTTCGGACGGTGACCCGGTCTGGGTCGAGGCATCGGTCTACCGAACGGAGGACCATCGACGACAACCACGGGTATATCTCCGTTGTTAACGGGACGATGAGGGAAATGAGGAATCGATTGTGGCGGTGGAGGCGGTGGAATCGGTCGAACGATCACATCAACATTGGGTCTCGGGAAAGGCATAGGTGGTGGATACATTGGGGAAGGCGGTCTCGAATTGACGGGGATCAATTCTATTTCTCTGTTGGGGCCAGGGAAGTTTGGCGGTTCGTAAACGCCAGCGGAAGACTGTCTTTCGGGGATAAGTTCCACTCCGTTGCTACCGACAGCGTTTGCGGCCGCATTTACTTGGACGTTCCCAGAGGAATAGTAGCCTGGTGCTCTTACACCGCTGTTTGTGTTCACGTTCGTGTTCACATTAGTGTTCACGTTGGTGTTCACGTTAGTGTTTGCGTTCGTGTTTGCGTTTGTGTTCGTGTTCGTGTTCGCAATTGAATTCACGTTGGTGTTGACGTTCGTGTTTAAGTTGACGTTTGCGTTCGAGTTGCCAGTTGCATCGGCGTTCGCCCCTGCGTATGTGCCACTCTGCGCGCCAGCCTGCGCACCAGCGTACGCGCCGTTGTTCGCGGCTGCGTGCGCACCGGCGCTTGCGCCAACGCCGCCACCGTGATTCGCGCCCGCGCTCGATTGAGAACCACCGTAAATACCGTGATGCCGACCATCGCGTGGAACCTCTCTGTTATAATTACCATCGTAGACGCCACCAAAGTTAGAATTGTAATTCGGTACTGGATAACCATTGCCACCTAAGTTCAAAGAAAATCCAATGCTAATTATGGGACAGAAGGAACTCGATTTATTCCGCAGAATTGTTTTGATAAATGTGTGCTAGGTCAGGCGATACGTGACTGACCTCGAAATAGAAAATGCAACGCATGTTACCGAGTCGAAAGAACGCGACTTAGAGGTCGTTTTTAATTTTTTCCACAACCTACGTAATTTCAATATTTTATTGTTCTGTGTGACTGACCTCGAATCTTTTCGCATTGAAAAGATTTTCTTTGGTCGCTAAGGTGTTGAGTGTATTGTTTCCTGCAGTCGTAAATAATTCTTAAGAATTTAAAAATTCAAACTCTCAAATTTGAATCGTGTCGAAAGTTTTCCAAACTTTTAACGTTTTTGGCTAAAAACTTATGCATAGTAAATTGGAAAATACGTAACTATACTTATGAAATATAGAAATGCTAACAAATTACTAAGTATAATCAATCTTTTTGGCTAAAAGATTTCGAGAGGTTTAAAAGAAATTTTTTACAAATGAAATACTTGACACTTGCATCGAGCGTTTGGTGGAAAATGGTTTTCTATTAAATACCTTGGGCATTGGCAGTGGCAGAAGCGTCAGCGTTCGCATTGGCGCCACCGAAAGCTTGGGCCTTGGCATTGGCGTTGGCAATGGCGGATCCGTCGCCAGTGGCTTTCGCCGATGCCGAAGAACTAGCCAAACTGCTGGAAAATGAAAGTGGTCCCAAGCTTAAGTTGCTTCCAAACGACTGTGCATTGCTCGATGCATCTCTGTCCTTGTGGAAGAGACCCAGTGGATCCGGTAAATTCACTCCATGCTTGGCTGCCAAGTCTCTCAATATACCTACGTAAAGAATTAAAGAATTATTTTTAAAATGATACACGAAAAAGAAGAGACGAGAATCGTTATACACATCTCAATATTACAGAAAATTATATAGCAAGCTTTGCTCCTAAAAAATAACAACTATAGAAACGTTTCGGTCATAAAAGCTTGTGAGAAATATTTCATTGTTATCTCATAGAATTTACTTTTTCCGATAATCTCGTGTGCCAAAGAACACCATAAATCAATCACAATTAACTATATTGTCTTTAAACGAAATTTATTTTTCTAATACTATAATATTGAAATGGTTGACATACATTACTCTGGTACACTCTAAGAGGATAGTGTTTACAAATTCGCTTGGCCTCGTGACCCTCAAATAATAAAGAAATGGAATAAACTAATATGAAATTCTGTTGGAAACGAGATTATTATAACACAAAATACGCTATAACTCGTAAACAAGGTCGAATAGCTCATATGTATGTTTATATGCACTTTTCTTCTTATTTTTATGACTCAATTCTATTTCTGCCCTACTTTTCACATGTCATGGAACACCCTTTGTACATATGTACATAGTATACCGATGATATCTACAACTACAGTAAACTAGAGAAAAATTTCTTTTTCAATTTTACGACTGTCCCAAAAATTCAAATTAACACCATCAACCATAATACGTAAAAATTTAGTTAGAAGTTTCTTCGATCGATGTTCCACTATTTAACATTAGATTTGCGATGATTAATTGCACATATTTTCATCAACCATAATACGTGAAAATTTAGTTATAAGTTTCTTCGATCGATGTTCCACTATTTAACATTAGATTTGCGATGATTAATTGGAGATATTTTCATCGAAATTCGCTATAAATTCAAGATAAATTGCAAGCAAATAATATTTATAAATTGTGTAACATTCAGTATGGAATCTGAAACTCGTGAAATTGACGAGGTCCTACGAGGATTAACTAAACCTCTAAAGGTTAAAAAGCAGCTAAAAATTGGTTGGAATAAAGTAAAAATTAAGTATTCTCTAGACATTGTCCCTTTCTGATCCGGAAGTAGCGTTTTGGAAGGAAATGGGGACTCACCGGGTCTGGCGTGAGAGCTCCCAACGAACAGGAGTACCACCACAGGTAGAAAACACTTGAACAAGCTCATTGTTATCTGGTCACTCAGAAAATGTCTAAACAGCACTATCACGAATTTCTTATTCCTTTCGACTGCGCTGCAAGTCGATATTCTCCGTCGCCGAAGAGACAAGGACGACTGAAGCTCTTGAACGAGACAACAACTTATATACGGAGACACCGGTGAGTATACGTCGGCTAATAATTGTCCGTTAGCCAACTGCGAGCGTTGCTTCCGGCCTGCTCGATCTTCCGGTTCACGCGAATCGAACCGGAAGATTCTTCGCGAAACTAAACCCGATCTACAGGGCCAACGATACCTTTTCGACTATTTTACGGTTTCCACGCGATCAAGGCACGCGAATCGAACCGCGTTCAGCCGAACAAGAGGACAAAACCTTCTCTTTCGTCGAGACGATCAGAGTCGAACACTGTCAAGGTCCTGATCGGCGAACCGCTTCGGCGAACTGCTTTGCGTTCTTTCCATCCTGGGGTATTCCTGCTCGATAACATATTTTTATACCTACGTAATTATTTACAGTTTAAGTTCACTGCCCGAACTACCGTACGTGCAACTTTACTATTCAATTAATCAAATTTCGAACACTCCCAGAGTCTTCGAAACACAAAGGACTCCATCTAAATTGCGATGATAATAAAAATGTTTTATATATGGACCGTTTATTTTTAAAGTGGTGCAAGTCCATTTTCTCTTGTTTCGAGAAAATTCAAGGTTAACATATCCGTTAATTAAAAAATTTAGGCAAATTATATGAAGTCTGGCAATGTTTCTACTGTTTTATCAATATGTATTTTGGTTATAGAAATTTGTTTTAGGCGTATTTTACTAAAATTATGTATAGTTACGGGCTGCAAATGGACTTGCACCACTTTCAAAATTAGACAATTGTAAAAGTCGTTTAATTTCAATTTTGAACAGTCAAATATCACTTAAAATATACTTCGTATTGATCCAATTTTGTTTTCAAATAATGACACGACATAAAATAGAAATAGTATTTTTAATTTTAATTTTCGTTCTTGTTAGATTTCTATCACTATACAAAATTAGACAAAATGTTACTAATAAATGTATCTTTTTATAACACAGCATTAGAAAAATGTAAAAGTTTATATACTATTCCAGTGTTTCTTAAACTTCATTTTTCCGCTAATCATTTCATTCTTTAAAATTTTTACGTTGTTTACTATATTATACAACGTACAAAAATAAATATGAAATAATACGTATACGTAGACGTGGTTAAGTATACGAATCTTAAAACAGCTGTTATTTCCTATTTTTCAGTGTTTTCGATCGATTGATATTTCGACCGATTATTTTTAAAGTGGTGCAAGTCCATTTTCTCTTGTTTCGAGAAAATTCAAGGTTAACATATCCGTTAATTAAAAAATTTAGGCAAATTATATGAAGTCTGGCAATGTTTCTACTGTTTTATCAATATATATTTTGGTTATAGAAATTTGTTTTAGGCGTATTTTACTAAAATTATGTATAGTTACGGGCTGCAAATGGACTTGCACCACTTTCAAAATTAGACAATTGTAAAAGTCGTTTAATTTCAATTTTGAAAAATCAAATATCACTTAAAATATACTTCGTATTGATCCAATTTTGTTTTCAAATAATGACACGACATAAAATAGAAATAGTATTTTTAATTTTAGACGATAATTACATTGTTAAAATTACAAGATATTGATAGTATTTACTTATGCTCTGCATATGGCGGTGTTTCGAAATATGCATGATGCATCGGAGGTATATAAGGTAATAACTGTTTGATGTCTTTATATTTTTCATAAGTTATAGGCCCGGCATCATGGTACAAAGGCGCCAGCGCGATTTTTCAAATTTTCACGGTCTTCCATGACGTGTAGGTAATAAATTTATAGTTTTAAATTCTTTGTCCTTCATCGATGTTTTCTATAAAATAGTGTATGGTGCACTTTTGAGAAATCTCATCCAACATATTTGCAACCAATTTACCTGTTCTTCGTTAGTGTTTTTTCTTATCTGTTTTTTAATCGTATTTTGAAGATTTTTTATTGAAACGAAATTCTCTCGTTTCGTTTCATGTAAAACGAATTTATCATGTTTTCTACATTGTGTTATTACATCGTAATAACCATCGGCAACCATCTGCCAAGCCACCTACCTCTGTCAATTGGACTTTACACCACTTTCATAATCGATGATTATGTAATTTCATTTACCAACCAATTTTAAATTGTACAAAACATGGGAATTTTTTAAGAAATTAAACACGGACTAGTTATAGAGAAAAAATTGACATTAAATTAAGCATGAATTACGTGATATCTCATTTTTTTTAAAATGGACTCGCACCACTTTCAAAATAAACGGTCCATTTCATGGCTGTTACTAAATTCTATATCACGAGTACTATAGGTGGTTCTTAACCCATATTTAAACGAATCACACTTGACTGACCGAGCACACGGACCTTTTCTATATGTATGTGTATCAAGAATTTTTATTAATTATTCATGTTAATATGTTTGAAATTTCAGGAATCCCCCAAACTGACAAATTTTCTTTGTTTTTTATTTAATTAGAAATTTTATCCTCGTCAATTGCAGAATATCGAACGGCGGGAACTTATGAGACGACCTAACACATATCTACCTATAGTAATTAATAGACTGCGGATGTTTATGCATTTATGAAAAATTTTAATTTTCAAAAAACTATAGAATTTAGTTAATATGCAAGAATATAAGAAATACTTAAAATAAGGTACGAATTATTATATCTAGGGGTTCAGACAACCCTCTACAAAGCTCCAATTTAATTAATTTTATTAATAAAAATATGAATTTGCATGAAGATCCGCAGTAATTAAACTTTTCCATAACTGTCATATCTAATTTGTAACTTTGAAAAACGTTGACTTTGTATTAGAAATGTATGAGAAAGTAAAGTAAAGTGGGCTGGTGAAAATTTTGAGAGAAACAAGTTAAAATCATGAATTACGTGATATCTCATTTTTTTCAAAAATGAACTTACACCACTTTCAAAATAAACGGTCCAATTATAATTGAAATGTTGTCAAGGGGGACCACCAATACGTTCCTTGGAATGTTCTTTCTCAAAATCATCGTGTATGCATATTCTCGACGTTAAAATATACTCAGATCAGGTCACATAACATGACGTTGAGTTAAGAACTCTGAAGCGAGCATCGATTGTAGCTTTTTGGATTTCTTGGAAAAATTTGTTACGTCAGGAGACATGTTGGCATACGTGGAGCCTAAATATTGTAAAATGAAGTCTACAGACGCAATGTTGCCTTGAAAATATCGTCACGCGCGACTGCACAATATTCTAAATCTTTAATTACACTGGGGATTAATGTGCACCTTTTCTGATTTAACCTTTGCACGAGGCAACGATCCAGTAATTTCCATCCGAGACTTTGAAAACCTGTATCTCCAAGGTCAGGTTCAACGACTCCCAACCTACTGGAAATGTAATAAGAGTAATCATGGGAAAGAAAAGAAAATTGACCGTTATGGTCGGCGAAAAACAAACACGATTTCGATTTTTCTTCGAAAATTTCTTTAGATTAGATTTTACAAATATCTGTATATTTTTCTTTCTATTTCTTACTACTTCTATGTATCCTTATATTTCAAGATAAATATCATTATTTGTAAACATAGACACGAAACGTAAATGTGTTCCAAGTAAAAATATTTTTCCATACACAGAGCAAAGCATTAAACCTTAACAGTTTCTTGTTGGTTTCTAGATAAGACAGTCTGTATCGAAAACCGTTATATCGAGACATTGAAAATAATAATTTTCACGTCCACTCGACTAATTCTAAGCGTGTACTGATACACGAAATTTCCGCCATTTTACAGATTCGATATCTCATCGGTAGTCGCAGGGACACGTTTGCTGGAGATCAGGTTCCACGTTTCCAACTATAAATAATCGCGTTTGAATATTAAATTCGAAATTGTTCGTTTCATTTTGCAGAAGAGATCAGGTTTTCTCGAGTGCGTAAAATAGCGGTCGCAGAAAAATAGCCTAGACGAACGAGTATCGCGATTATGCAAATCGGATCCAGGAACCGGTTGATATTTTCAACCTGGAAGGCAGGAAATAAGTCTTCTAAATGATTAAGTAGGCAAAACCCCGTGAAAGAAATTTATTCTTGATTTTTAACAATTTCAACCCAAATATCTTGGAAAAAATGTTTTAATTATTTTTAAACAAGGTTACACAATAGAAGACAGATTTCCCTGTACGAATAATAACATTTTTAATCTTTTATATTAGAAATGGACAAAATTTTTACTTTAATCGAATAATGTGATAATTAGAAAGATTAATATTTATTTGGCAAAAATATACGTATGCTCTAAATAAACCATTAATTTCCTCGAATTTATTTATTATAGACAAAGTATCTTATTCTTTTAAACAAATATTATCGTCGTAGCTATCATTAATGGAATAAACATTTTGAAACGCATCTTATTTTTTAAGATACCTTGATTAGTGATTTACTCGATAGTGATAGCTCGATTTTCTACCAAGGAATGTTAAATACTTTTATAAATAAATAATTTTCATCGGGTCAGGAAAACGGGAAAATCTGGTAGAAGTATACAACAGATCATCTCGCGATAAATTATTCCGTTTTAATAATAATGGTTCACGATTATTATGTAATTATCCGTAATTAACTCCATTAACGTATAACATGGGAACACCAAGTCTTCCAAGGCTTCCCTCCTCCCCTCCTCCCGATTATTTATTTTGATAAAGAAATAATTGCCGCTAAGCGAGGAAACACGTTCCTTGAAAATCCTATAACGTACGACTAAATCTATAATATTACGTCTCAGTGAGCGTTGTTTATCTTCGGAATTTGTAGAAAAATATTGCATCAAGCGATAACTTGGCTAACCTTGCGAATTAAACGCGTATGTATTTACTATTGCCAGTGATTTACCAGTGATAACCAGACTACGGATCTTCATATTCATTAATAGAATTAATAAAATGAGAGATTTGCAAAATTCCCTAAATATTTAAGTATTTATTATATTTTTCATAAACATCTACAT